AAAATCATGATTTGTATATATCATCTTTTCACCAATTATACTTTTTTCTTCATTATGGATTTGAAAAGAAAAACAAATTTTATATATTTTATCAGTTTTGATAATACAATGTTATAATTATTATCCTTATTTATTTTAAAAGATAGTGTTCGTCATTTATTTGATTTCAAAAGCTGAAATTTTTTTCATAGTTTAGGTCTCTTTTTATTTATGCATTTACACATATTAATTTAAAAATCTAATAACGACTGACAACAAAATTTGCTATATATTGATTCAAACCAACTAATTAATAAAAGAGTCCATCGATCACGAAATTAAAAAATAACACATGATCATTACATTTCAAAGATTAAGTTTTTCAGATAAAAATTCATTTATATTGTCATGACGATAAACAAGAGTGAGTGTCACTCTTAGAAATTTGATGATTTCAACTGCTACATTTCCAATGGTTTCTTTACCGTAGGAATTTCCATTAGATTATGCAAATTTCGTTGGAATTTTTATTTCCACCCTGTTGAAAAATCAACCGTTGGAATCGTCAAAATCCAACGGAAATTCCAATAGAAAATTCATTCCAACGGAATATTTTTGTTGGGATTTCCGTTGGAATCCATTGAAAATTTCCAACAAAAATAATAGTATTGAAATATCTGTTGGAATTGTCGTTGGAATAGATTTCCATTGGAATTTTATCATTTTATTGTAGTGTGCCCAATAATCAAAGAGAAATTTACTCCCATTACTACACCTTTTAACATTATTTTTAAAAATACGAAAATCAAAACTCTCTTTTGTAAATACGAATTTTTCTAGTTTCAATTAAATATGTAATTGACGGTTTGTGCGGTTGAAAATTATTAATCACAATCATCCTGAAGACACAATTAATCAATTGGTCAAATTGGAACAAGCATATCGGGAATCATGATAATCCATATATTACCAAAAAACAACCCGCTAAAAAAAAATTCTCACCAAATCACGACTTTTGTGTTTCTTCACCTCATACAAGACAGGAGACGGAGAAAAAAAAATCCATAGAACACTCAAACACCATCTTCCTCCATAGATTTATCAATTGCCAATCGAAGAAAATTACAAGACGTCAATTATCACAATAGTGAGGATGATGTTTGATAACTCGCTCACTATCTCGTCTAACAACTAAAAATGAAAAGTTCGAGCATAAAGTCATCCAAAAGAAATCGGCCGCCGTCGCCATACGTTGAGCCATGAATCTACGATGTCGTTCCAAAAATTTAATTCTCAAACGAGAGCCAAGCGGGACCACGTAACCCTCCACCGCCGCTGCTGGCCGTCGCATCGTCTTTCGTAACTCCTTGGCAAGATTCTCAACCGAGAGCCAAGCGGTATATCACGGCAGTCCTCCGTCGTTGGTCTTCGCATCGTATGTCGATCTCCCACCCCTTGATTCTTCTAATTTTCAACAAGAGTACGGCTCGAGATTTGATTTAGATTAGATATGTTTAATTGTACATGTGTCTTATTTGTATGAGGTTTTGTGTTTATATATTGTTAGTTTATCTTAAGTTTAATTATATTGCACTCGATCAGAATGATGTGTTAAGTTTTATCCCGTTTGTGTTGTTTATATGTTGTTTATCTTATGTATAATTATATTAATTTACATGCATTTTACATGTTGTTTATCTTATGTATATATACAGTATATCTATAGACAATATACCGTATTGTTTTTTGGAGTGCACAAAATTGTTGATTGAACTTTGTAAATTTCATGTAAAGTTGAAATATGTTTGAACTGATAAGTTCTAAGTTCAATTCGATGTTTTGTAAAGTAGACATATGTTGTTTATCTAATGTATAACTACATTCGGTTTGGATTTTACAATGATTCACAATTTTGTATTATATTTATATACCGTTTTAGTGTTGTTTATATGTTGTTTATCTTACGTATAACTATACGATTAATATTAAAAAAACGTTTGATCGTGTTTATCTAATGTATATATACAGAATATCTTACATATTTTTCGTGGTTATGAGAATATATATATATATATATATATATATATATATTATCTGAATTTTTTTACCGAAATTATTTGACGGAGAGAGAAAAAAACATAAACATGAAGAGAGAAACGAATGGAAAGAGAAATGTATCAGATTTGATGCGTTGATTGTGGAGGCCATCATGTCATGCTCATTATATGGAGAGAGAAACTATCAGATTTGATATCATTAATCAATATATGGAGAGAGAAACGGATATGTTGATTAAAACCAATTCTCGTACAAATGAAAATAAATCCACTATTTATTCTTTTTTTGATTAATTTTTCTACAGATAGTATATATGTAAATATATCTATACAAGGGTATATTTATGTAATTTTCCCATAATCAAACTAATAATGTTGTTTACAACTAGGTTTTAATAACATATGATTTTTTCATACCCGAACATTTTATGAGCATTTTCCACCCAAAAACATTAATTACTGTTGTAAATATATTCTATCGGAGTCAAATCGAAAGATTCGAACGCCGGGTCGTCTCACAAGGAAGGTTAGCCGGAATATTTAATGCGTTTATTCAATCACAAAAAGAAAAAATAAAATAAATAAAATTCCTAAACATCCTAATTCAGATGATTGGTTTTGATTATCAACTACTGCAAATAAATTAAATAAAGCAAGTAAATAGCAAACGGGCACGTAGAACAAATAAGATTTAACGAAGCTAGGGAGTCGGGGATATCCGTCTTGGTTCGAGATACAACTAACGGGCAAGTGATTGTTCATCCAAGAAATTTGAATAATCCACCTGATCAAACATTCATTCTCAATAACTTTTCGTAACAAGAGAATAAACTAGAACGACAAATTAACGAGTCAATTAACTCCTAGGCAATACAATTACGAACAAGCCTAGTTCATGCGAATCTATTTCGACTAACTCCTCCCCTTTCGGTTCTAAGAGTCGATTAAATAATCCTAGAAGGTGGTTAATCAACTAGTCGATATCGGATTAACAAAATCACGCAAGAACGAATCAAATTCAATTAAATAATTGCAAATCGAAGTGTCACCCTTCAATAATTCTCAACATTCAAGCACAAATCGAAAACCCTAATTAAGCATGAATCGCATAAATTTAACAATCTTGAGCCCGACAATCACACACGAATTCAAAGCATCTATCCCCTATTCCCTAGCAATTAATTTAGCTACTCATAATTGAATCAACAATAATCATCATCTCAATCGAAAGATCCATATCATCAATTAAATGAAAGAGAAATCTTACAATTGATAAAATCTCAATGTTGAATTCGATAAACAAGATTAATCCCGAAAGCAATAGCCAAATTTGGGTTTAAATCTGAGTTCCACGATCAAAAGTAGGAAGAAAGAAACGAACGAGTGAAAGAAAAACGATCCCCTCTTCAAACCTAAGCATCGAACAACATAAAAACGAGTGCATAAGATTTCTCTTTTTAAAAACTGTACAGTGTAAGTCGCGGCCGCAGAGGGGCTCG